AGGCTCTGCCTCTCTATTTGTGTGACAGTTGTAACAGTAGAAACACCAAATGTAATGAAATCAAGTTCCTCCAGCAGTTTCCATTCTCCAGATGTTGTCTCTGACCATGCTTCACAGGCCTGGAGGCTTCTGTTCTCTCAAATACCTGATTCCCCCTAGCAAGCTAGATTTCAGCTGGGTTTGTTCTTCCCAAGTACACAAAGTGATGTTTAGGGTGACATTTACAGGCATCGAGGACAGACTACTTTTGAGCAGATGTTTGTGTGAATCCCATTGACCTTTACAGTGCTTAAATTTATTCATTGAGTTCATTATTTGTTTAAACAGTTGTTCATTAACTTATCAGTAAAGTTCCAGCATCTTTCTTAGATTTTCTTATTACTACCAAGAAAATATTTTTCTGGTTTGGCCCATGTTTTAGAAATAATTGGCTATTAATATTGCTGCTTATAACAATATCCTGATAATGGAAATAACATACATAGAGGAACTATGTATTGCAACACAATTTGACGTTTCAGCTGAGAATGATATAAAAATTATTTCTTAAATTGATCTGCCTGAAGATTTAGTTTTTCAGTGTTATGTAGAGATGTTATTTTGTAGGGAGACTGATACACCATTGGTCACCACATTCCATTTCCTAGTTCAGAAGAACTTTTCTTGCAACAAGCATCAATTCATTTTGTTTTTTGTATTTAGGACTGAGCCCATTTTATACCATCAGCCTTACTGTATAAACACAACTAAATGGCAAGAAACTCAAGCACATTTGTGGTCACCATAGTGGGTTACAGATTGCTACTCCAGTGGTTGTTTCCTACCCTTATTGTGACAAATTGGTATCAGTATTCAGCCACCTTATTCCCATGACAAGTTCTAATGACATTTTCTTTCGCAAGAGTAATGGTTCCTGCTGCTGGGGAGTGACTGGGCCATTCATTCAAATATTCAAGTACTGCAATGCTCCCAAGAACCCTTGGGAAAAAGAAAGAAAAACAAACC